TGGAGGCTGGAGTTTTGGTGCCCTCGGCCGTGTAGCCGAAGGCATCCTTATGTGCATTACGGGCTCTTTTAAGTTTGGGCCGTTGTATCTAGGCTTCATGTGCTCCCTGGGCTTATCGGGCCTGTATTGGAGAAGTGGGAGTACGTGGGCCGGAGGTCCTTGGGTCATATACTCCATCACACTAGTATTGCAAACAGAGCCTAAAAATCAGAAGTTTCGATCGTTGGAGTTTTTAAGCAAAAAATACAAAACACCTATTTTTAATTCTATTCTTAATTCATGGTAACTCCACAAAAACAAAACTTTGCTTGAACTCATTTATATGAATAGAGAGGTAAAAAATGTGATATTTTTAGCATCGAAATGCACATTTTTATTTCAAAACTGTTCAAAAAAAATAAAGAAAAGCACTGCTTATAATAATTCAATTAATTTTTTACTACTTGATATTTAAAAATGTTTTGGGCAAATTTTATGAACTATGTTGGAATGTTGGCAACGTATACTCCGTATTAATGGAATTAATTAATTCACGATCTCCATTACTGAATTGAAAGAGTTTATATTCAACCAAGCTAGAACTAGGAAAGCAATTTTGTTCTCCCCTCAAAAGAGAATGGGGTTCACCCCGTCATATTGGGCTACCATGTGGAATATCAATTCGTTTTTATTATACAATTATTATAACTTTTCATTTATTGGCAAATTCTTTAAGAGTGTATTAATTTTTTAATTTTTTATGATCTTTCATATGGTATTGTTACATATGTGAAATTTTAAAATGATTTAGTGAATAGGTGATATTTGGAATAAAAAATTCAAACTTTTTATACTTAATATTGATATAATTTAAAAGATTATAAAAGGTGGAGTATTTTTTTTTTTTTGCAACAGAAAAAAAAAGTGGAGTATAAATAAAAATATTGATATCATTGGAAAGATTATAAAAAGTGAAGTATATATACTACTATAAAAAGGGAAACCTGTATGTGCTTACGTCACTTAGTTGTCACGATGATGTCATCAACTATAAATTAAATTTACATCATGTCGGTTAAGAGGCTCCCGGCAAATTCATTCCCAAGGACTCACATCCCAAGTTACCCAAGCAAAGATCGAATCTGCCGCTTCATAAATTCACGCCTCTCAGTGGTTTGAAATGGGGAAACCAGAAACTCTGGGGCGGTAAGCCTGATTTTAAGGGCCAAATATCCGCCGTTCACCGGATATTCAATATTCTGTCGTCGGATATCGCTTGGGAAGCAGAGGTCGGAAAGTGATCCTGGGTTGCCGGATCAGGTGAGGCGGTTCTGGGGGTGGGTGATGTAAAAAAAGGGCCGACGAATGGTGGCCGCGTCGGGAATTACCGGTCGAAGTAGAAGGATTGCATCTGAAACCACCAGACCGTGGAACTTGCGCACTCGCCGGTCGGGGAGTAAGCAGCCGAACGGGTCCGCCGCCGCTTCCGGAGAATCCAATTCGGGTTTGATGGTCGACATTACGATGCCCATTGACAACTTAACCGAAGACAAATCTCCAAGAGTCCGGTGTAACTCCGCCACCGCGTCCATTGTGGACTTTACCGCTTCCTTAACCACCACTGCCGCCCTCGATGAGTGGTGGTTACCTGCAGTGGTTCCTCAACCTTCCCCTGTGGATACCTGCAGTCGACCTGCCGCCCTCTGTGAGTTCTAACGGCCTGTTTGGATTGAGTGTTGAAGAGTGTTACTAATGGAAATGTTACTAAGTGTCGATGCTAACACTTGTTTGGGAGAAAAAACCAGAGGTGTTAAGAAGTGTTAGTAATGGTTAGGAAGTGTTAATAATAACCTTCCCAACACCTCAATTGTCCATTTTTTTAACACTCCGATTTGGAGTGTTTTGAGGTGTTGGACAATTATTATCCTTCTCATTTGCACGAAAAACATAAAATGCTTCGACATTTCACTTCGAATGTCTTTCCCACGGGTCTGATGGTTTGTTTTTTCATCTCTTCTCTTTACTCTTTCCTTACTCTTTCTTTAACACTTCCATTATTAACACTTCATTCATTTGACTCTCTCAAACAAGGTAAAATTATGTCTAACACTTACACTTCCCTTCCCTTCCGAGCCCTTACTAACACTTACTAACACTTCTATTACTAACACTTCCAAACACTCCATCCAAACAGCCCTAAGTGTTTTATTCTATTTTATTTCATCATGCACTACATACGTCTTCAGCATAAAACTGCATAGATGGCCAGTTATGCATAACCGCTACTCCCACGTACTTTGGTTTAGTTATATGCAAAAGACCCACCAACTTGAACATAACCACGACTTAATTGAAATAAATAACACACAAGTTAGTTAATCCTAACATGGACACAATCATCTAAACCTATGTGTTTGCGTATGTAAGTATATAAATAATTGTATTGTATAGGCCAGGTAGTATTTAAATAGTATTTACTTAATTTAAATAGTATGTGAGGTCACTTTAGAAATGCTTTAATTAAAAATCTAGATAATTTAGTTTTAACTTTGTACAATTAGATATTAGTTCTATTTTAGATAAATAAATACACTTTTAGCCATGCATATGATATAACATCTCACAAATACATAGGAGAATGAGAAAAAATTAATGAAGACAAACTCTTTTAAAAATAAATTTGCAAAAATTCTGTATTATTCAGGTCCTATTATAAAAAACTTTTTGGGGGAATTCTGTCACGAATTACTAAACAACAACAATAAGAAATACTAATAAGCAAAGCAAAATTATTAAATTAATATAATGAAATTTTATAGTCGATCTATGATAAATGCATGTTGTTGTAGCATGTATATGTTTCAATTTCCCATAAAGGTAAATACGAAGTATAATTCATGTTAACATTCTATTTTAAAACATTCTGCAAATGATAGACATTAATGGATGAGGTGATGTTCACAAAATCGGACTTAAGAACCGGAACCAGTGTTCTAAAAGGCTTAAAAAGAGGCTGCCTAGGCGGGTCTAAGCGCCAGGCATCATCAAACCGCCCCACACCACCTAAATGCGTGAAGAAAAGCGGCCCACAAAGGACGGCCCATAATTTTGACTAAGAAGCCCCAAGCAAGCCGTCCATAGCAATTAGGACTACCGCCTATCCTAATGAGAGAGAAGAGTTCGTATTTATAACCAATTTTGGAATGACAAATCTCTATTACATCCGGTGTGGGAAATGAAAGCACTTCGTCGTGCAGTATACTTGGGAACCATGGGATGTTGCAACTTGCAATCACAATTGCTAACAAAACTTGCTCAAATTATACAATTTACTATCGTACAATCTAGTCTCTTAATCATCAACATTATATTATTATTATTATTATTATTATTATTATTATTATTATTAAAAATGTTTACATATCAATGATTAAAATAAAAATTGTTTAACGGAATATGAACTTTTAAGTATAATAACATAGTAACTTATATTCAATTTTTACATTTAAGTGACATGCAATGACATGATAATATAATAACATGTAGTCATATTTTTATAAATAAGTTTTATTTTAGTAATATTTTTGAAAACAAAATCATATTATCCTTATTATTAATATTTTTAAACCTCTTACTACAACTATTTTTATTATGCAACTAATTTTTCAGCCTTTGTAGCTATATGAATGTTTCACTATATCTATTATTTATAAATTTTGAAACTTTTGTATTTTATTTTTGTAGGGAAAATCAAAATATGATATTTTTGTATGATATTATCACATATCACATTTATATAATTACTAATACCTCTAGAAAATTAAAATAAAGAGTAAAATTTACAAACGCCTTTTCACGCCTAATCCCCGCCTAAGCAATAGTCTTACATTCTCTAATTGGTGGACTATTCTTTTGTTTGGATGATTTGTCGTACACCAAATTTCTATGTTAGTGCCTTTTGTTGTGTCCTATCTCTCTTTTAAAGAAAAATACTTCAATATTACTACGGAGTATAAAATAACACTTCCTCTTCTAACTTATGAGTACATACGATGTATTCTTTTCCAATTGACATTTGCATACTTCGAATCAAGTGAAAAATAAGAAAAATAAAAATTGTATGATAGAAATTTATAAATGAGTACAACCATAAATCAATTACTTCAATGACAAAGTACTAAATTTTTTGAAACAACCATAAAGAAAAAAATTCTCAAGTCCAATGAAAGAGAAAGAGTATAACTTAATTGATACAAAGTATTTAAAGAATGAGTTTACATGAAACATGGAAGTGGGCAGGTGACTAAAAATTAAAATGTGTTAGGAAAAACACATAAATAGTCATATATGAGAAACGTACACATAACGATAGAATGTAATACTCCGTATCTTTTGGTAACATTATGAGATAATTTTCTCTACAAAATGTCATCATGCCAGAGCGGTTCATATATGAATAAACAGAACTTAAATAAGTCAATCAAAATCAGACCGGTTCAAAAGTTCAAATCAAGGCACGCCACAAAATAATGAACAATTCCTAACGTTATGTTGATGATTCTTGTGAAGTGATTATCGATGTAAACTTCTACTATGATATTACTTTTAAAAAACGTAACGTTAATACTAGCATAAAAACTACACTACTAACTTCTTAATTTAGAGCATATAGTTGTCGGCTAATTTACATCAAAATTTATTCCAATAGTCTGATTGATTTTTGAACTCTTAGCTTGTTCATATTTTCTTAAGAAGGTGATATGCTAAAATGCAGTTGTTCTTAAGCAAGAGTTTGTTTTTGCTTGAGTTTGATTGGGGAATGCCCCTCTAATGATGTGCACAACAGTTTTGCAACAAGTATATATGTTCACCTTCTACCAAAAAAGAATCGTGAAATAATAATAATACTAATAATAATAGTAATAATAATAATAAGTAATAAAATTAAAACAAGTGGTGCACAACAGTACATAGTATGATTATTTCGTGGAGTATCTGGATAGAAATAAATGATTGTGAGTTTGTGACCAATTTAATATCGACTCTGTTTATTCATGCCGTCAAGAATGCATACATCATATTCATATATTAACATTTGCGGTGTTCACTCATCACTAGTCATCAAGTATAACCTTACAAAAGAATCACTTACCCATGGGGTTGGTTCTTCACTCATTCCTTTGTGAAGTTGTATACACGGAATTTAGATAAATACTACGTATATACGTAGTATATATATGTAACTACGTAAACACAGACACATTCCAAATTTCCAACATAACTTTTTGAATCGCGACAGAATGGGTAGAAATCTACATAACTATGGTGGAGGCGTGGAGGCCTATGAGCTTATACTGTACTTCCATTGTTTGTTGTGTCCACCAGTCCACATACGCCTTCACAATATCTGTATTTGATACTCGAATACTACTAAACAGATCAATATATATTTGTTGCAATTGTTTTTGTTTAAGGGTATACAATGGGGTATGTTTCCTGAGAGCATATACAAACATGTCTGCAGTGGTTAATGGTTATCGTCCTAGGACCCCTAGTGACTCTTTGTAGGCATACATACTCGGTGTACTGTTAGTTACAGGACCACCACTGGTTCATCTTTGTAGGAGTGAATAACTTGATCTGGATTAGTGCCTCTTCGCTAGCGTCTTCTTCAATCCAGAGATGATCCTCCCAAACCACATCAGGTTCATGATGGATAGGCCAGATGGAACAACGAAAACCAAGAAGAGCGTGTACATGTGCATCTGCTTCACCTGTAAGCAAGGCAAGAGTAGCAAATAAGGCGGTTAATTCTTCATCATATTCGTGTCATTTATCAAGTTTCCATTTAACAAAAGGAAAAGTGTGATAATTATTTATTACTTCCTAAGAAGAAAGGTGAAATATTTAATTAGAAACAAAGTGAGTTTTGTACTGTATTTTATTTAAATATTCCGATTTTAGCCACTTCAGCCATTTTAAGCCTTTTCAAACGTGCTTAAGCAACAAAATGGCTGCATCTCAAATTTATCCCTACCGATGTAAATATGGTGATTGCAGCAAGGTGGGATGGTATGTACCTGGTCATAGTGGAGATAGATGTGATAAAACAAGTACATGAACAACAATATTCTGGCCAGCTGCAGGTAACACGGTAAATTTTGATTATTTCAAGGACATAAGTGGGATAAAATAAACATTGAAACATTAGGAGCATGAATGAATTGAATCCATCATGTACCATCCAAGCTAAAAATATGACCACTCCATTGATAAGATATGCTTTGGTTTTCTTCATTCCAGCAACATCAAGATACCTATGCAAGAGCACATGATTCACATCAATAATAGGCCTGTGTGTCTGTATATTTATCTGATCAATTAAAAAGTGCTCCTCATGTGCATAACGAGAATGGATATAGTTTATTAGATTGTCGATCTAAGTGCTCAAAAGCTGAAGAAACAGTGGCAATATTGTAGGTAAGTGCAACTTTTCCACCACGTTCTTTGAAAAAATGAACATCCTCATACTTAAAAAGTGCAATTGTGTTGTAATAAAGTTAGAAATCTGCTCTATTTCTGAATGTTCCAGTTCTTAATGGGAAGACTAGTTTTTACTTGGTCTGGACCATATAATGTGTGTGTAGAGGGAGAGCAGCTGATGTGTACTACCATCTCAAATTGATGCTTGGAGTAGTTGCCTCAGAAATCAAGACCATAAAGGTATAAAGTTGTCCCTCGCTGGTCAACATAGCATATGTTAGAGCTATCATGGAAAGAAGGTGATGAGCCACCTGCAAATGCATTAGCAAATTTCAATATGATCAGACTTGCACCAGAATTGGCTTGTCCATCAGAATGAACAGAAAGGCAATAAATCGCCACTTACATACTCCATCCCCCCTAGTTTAGGATAACACCAAATGATCATCCCAAGATCAACGAGGAAGTATCCCACAGAAACCTGCAAAAAATTGGCAGAGATGGTCTAATTGACTAATTCTTCAAATAAAATTGACGGAATTAAGGCCCTGTTCCATAATATGCATCTTAAATTTACAGTATTAATCTTCTACAGAGTAATATATTTTATGCCACCAACCCAACCTAGTTGGGATTAAGGTGGTGATGATGAAATTTGATGGAAGTAGAATCATGAAATCACTCAGAATGCTAGTTGGCCAATTAGTGTCATATAGAAACATCTTAGCTACCTTTATTCAGAGTTGAAACTACTTATTTCAATATTCCATGACTGCAAAACTTGAATCTTCATAAGAAATTGAAAAGGGAGGGGTGAAATCAGATAAAATTGAAACTGAGTTAGACGGTTTTAGGTTTAAGATGATTAACCAGATATTAATTCATCGATGTAATACACATTTCCCTATCATTTTTATAAACACAAGATTTATTTTTGCGCCCCCATCATTTATAGATAAAAAATTTATGAAATAACATTAATTTCATAAGGTAGACTTCTACTAACTTAAACGACATTGTAACCCTCAATGACATAATTACGTCATGATTTGGGTGCATAGATACATTATAAGATCTTTGAAAGTGATTAGGTAAAATAAGGGAAAACCAAATACTCACTCCTAGTACACACGTTGACAGAGCTGAGTTTCGGGAAGTAATAAGGCCAGAAAGCTGATAATCAGAAAATACATTTGACCAGAATACAATGTAGAGTGACATTGCTGTGATGAACATAGAGTGAACTGTAGATATTGCACTGCATCATGGTAAAATAACAGCTACCATTAAAATGATCAAAGGAAAATACATTTAAGGTTTAACACTGAAGCGAACAAAAAATGATACCGGTTGTTCCACTCAATCTGTTGGGGTTTTGAGAGGTTGGAGAATCCCTTATAGCATGAAACCGTAATCATTTGGCTAAGATTATATACCTGATTTCAGGAAAAAGAAAAAATGAAACACATCGACGGTGCTCTTGATAGAGTCCAGTTACATGTCAATTATACTACAAAATATAAAGTTGGCTTCTTCATACCATTTTGCACATAACAATGCCGAATATAACTGAACTGTAAGCCATGTGCAAATCTGAAAACATAAAGCTCCTAAACACCAGCTCGGCTTGAGTTCGATAAGAGTTCATCCCCATATAGTTTCCTTCACATGACAGCAATAGAATAAACAACATTTCACCTATATCTCCTCAACTTTTAATACGTATTAAAATACCCCAGGCCAATTTAATCCATATTATAACTGCACTGTGGTATGATTGCAACTTTTAACATCAATACACCATATATAGTTGAAAGATATAGAATTCTACAAGTAATCATAACAAAAAACAAGCCTTGATTCCAATTCAAGGGGGTTGGCTAAATCCATACACACTTTTCTAGAACTCCACCCAGTATAATACTATGATGCAATGTTCTAAATATAAAACACATCCACTCTGTTCCTACTTTCTTTTTCTGTATGTCCTATCCTCTTTCTGTCATTCACACCCACCATCCTTCTCTTTATGTAAGTATATACGTATTTAATAACTAGAAGTAAAAACATTAGATATTTCCATATTAGAATCAATTGATTTATTTAAGACCAACACCGATCAAACGCAAAAGTGATTGGTTTCATCATTACTAAGCAGTTATTATATCATCAATGATCAAACATAGGATGACAGGAGACATTGTTGAGCAATTTGGAGTATGAGTCATATTTCAAATGAGAATAATAAAAATGTAGTTAAAAGCAATAAATTTATGCCAAAAAAGGAATAAACAATTCAAAACAGAGGAAAACGAAACCCCTGTAAACCATTTCGTTCAACAGCCATCGACCCAACATTTTGATGGAGCGAAAGACATGAGAACCCCCGTTTTTCATAGAAGCGTGAAGAAAAAGGAGTAGAAATGCAAATAGAAAAATGTAACTGAAGAAAGGGGATTTTCATGATCGACTTACAATGGAGGAAAGATGTTTCGCGTGAGAAAGAGAAAGAGAGCGGCTTGGGCTTTCTATTTCGGAAGCCGGATTATATTCCTGCGGGGAAAGAAAAGTGGAGAAGCAAAATGAAAAGGAAGAGGAAAGCGAGAGAAATAGAATCAGAATAGCCTTTTTTGTTTCTTCCTTCTTCTCTGTAGTTTTCTTTCATTCTCTGGCCCGCGAGCATCGACATCTGACCTCGGAGCAGCATCCTCGGTTTGGAGTTGACCTCTCACGAGTAAGGAAGTCGTGTAGGTGCCCTTACCCCCCAAACCCGTTAGTGTTAAACAAACCAAACCAGATCAGAACAAACTTAGAACTCTTTTGGTAGTTTGCACGTCAAATCTTTGCACATGAAATGATTACATGCAAAATATAGGGAAACAATCATTTTGCATGTAAACTAGATTACATTGTTTGTCTAGATGTGTAATTTGTTTTTAAATTGCACGCAAATTCGTTGCAGTGCTTTATAAGAGGCGTACAAAGTATTTTACCTCTCCTTACACTTCGCATGCAAAGTAATTATTTTACATCCTACCAAACGCCCCCTTAAACGGATCATATCAGATTCAGATCATACTTTTGTAGTTATAAATTACGTGGAGGCCATATTCTTAAACAGATCATACTTTTGCAGTTATAAATAGATTTGGTTGCTTACTCCTCTGAGTTGTATTGTTGACGCTTTGTCATTTGATTTGATTAATGCTAATTAAAGTTGTAGTGGGAAAAAAAACGTAGAGACCATATATTTATCAGACCATATCAGACTTGAACAAACCAGACCAGCAAATTTCAGTCCAAGTAAAACATCTAATATCAAACAACCAAACTAGATCAAAATAGATAAGAGTAGACTTAAATAGACTAAACTAAATCACATGAGACCAGTGGCGGAGCCAGAAAAATGACTCAAGGGAGTCAAAATTCAACTATGTACAAAATGAAAATGGTAGATCGTTTTTAGGCAATATTCAAGTTGCATGTTTCATTTATAGTTTAGATAAATAGACAATCATAACAATAACATAGATTTTCTTTGCTTTGTTTCTGAATCATGTTACGTAAGTAATAAGTTAATTACTCCCTCTGTCCCACTTTAAGGTTCTCACACGATTTACGATGTTTGACTGACCATAAAGGTAACGGATCCCTGTCATTAATAGAATTATTTTTAGTTAATAAAATTTACATATCCAGAAACTACATTAAAACCGCTACAAAACCTGCAAAAATAATTTAAATTTCATAAACTTTCGATATATAAAGTAAAAGATTAAGAACAATGCACGTTGACCGGAGAATAGTGTACGAGAACCTTTAAATGGGACGGAGGAAGTATAAGATATTTTTAAAATTTGGGAAATTAATCAATATTACCCATCAAGTTTTGCTGATTTTACGTTTAGGTAGTGCTGATTTTCCAGAAGTCGTAACTTTTTACTCGTAATGAGTTACGGAGGCCTTAATATATCAAAACGAAGATATTTCAGAGCTTTGTACTCTCAAACTTTCAGCGGGGTCGGCTGACCACTCTGACCCCTGGCTCCGCCCTTGCATGAAACACTAAAAGATCAGACCAAAACATTAAATTTTACTTTTTGTAGTACATCGTAATATCATTTTTTACATTTGTATTACTCGTTTTTTTGGGTTCAATGCAATATCCATTTAATAGCCTACAACTCTACAAGGTCAAATAGATATATGCACATGTTCCTTATGATTATTTAACATATTTCAATAGTTGATTAGTTGTTAATAAGCTTAGTTTTGATCATTAAATGTTCTGATATATATGATGAGCATCATGTCTCCTTCATGAGTCATGAGAGCTCCATAATGTCACTTCTATATGTGCACTGCGTTAGAAAAATCTTCTTTGTATATAGTTGTGTACTTGTGTATGTCCAATTGATGAAACATATATCAACATCGTATTAAATTCATTCGTTTGATTTACAAGTTCATTTTTTTTCGCAAGGAAATTGGCATATATTATATTAAAATCGGTATTCCCAGAGTGCAACTGATAAAACAATACAATCGAGCAACAACCAACAAAACTACACTCCTACCCAACCCTAACCATAAGTCCATCGGCCCCCTCACGCCTTGATCGGACATAGAATAGTCCACCCCAAAAAGAGCAAGACTAATCGCTTAATGTTTCAACCTTGAGGGCTGACTGCGGCGCTGCGCGAGGGAAAGACGCATGCACGCAGGGATTCCAGGAGAGAGAAAAGGGAAAAGAAAGGAAAAGAAAAGAAAAGAAAAAAATATAAAGTCCGAAAATAATTATAAATTAATAATGAATTTCAGGAATTTTCGGAAGCTGACTTGGAAGTCTGGAAGAAAATTGACTGCTGGAATGCTAGGATGCTGAGAGAATTAACTTGGAGCCTTTTTAAAGCTGAGAGCTTTAATTAAAATTGGGAAATCTCCATAAATTGTGAGATTGACAGAATCCACAATTATTGCTTCCCTGGTATGTGAATATTTTTTAAAATTGGCAGCTGACATGGACTACTCCCTCTTAGCCGAGTCTACTACTCGACTAAGGGAGTGAGGGACTCGTCTTGTTTACTAGTTCATTTAAGAATGTATTTTCACATATTGTTTTGATGTCAACCTTCACACTTTACCAATAAGGCAATAACTTAAATGTGAATGTGGCATATTCTACTATTGTGGTCATGCTTCACATTGGTTTGTGTGCGGATATGCAACCTTTCGTCTTTCAATTACGAGTTGAAGTAATCGAAGCGTTATTTAATGAATATACGGTTGGCTCTCTTTTTCAAGTAAAAAGCAATCTTGATAAGCGAGTGAGAAAAAAAAAGCAGGGGTGGGCATAAACCCCGAACCGGTACCGAACCGGTCCGTAATGGTGCCTAACCGAATATTAGGTATTTAAACGGTTCTATAGAATTTTATCCAGAACCGAAAACATACCGTTTCAAACGGGTACGGGTCGGTCCTAGATTTTGAGAACCGAAAAATACCGGACTGGACCGTTCAAAAATAATGTCTTTGAGATTTTTATATTTTTCCATACCAATAGATATCATTTATAGACCAACAATTTTATAGCCGAAGTATGTATTCATGCATCCCTAAAATAGCCAAGTGTGTGTTATATAAATATTGTTATTTTTTTCCTTTTAGATAATTTATGTTATATTTTGTTTATAATGAAAGAATGCTAAAGTTTTAAAAATCATTAATGACTATTGATTTCTAGTAATGTAGTGCATATGACTTTTTGTTGTATCCTAACTTTTTGTGTAGTTTTACAACTTAATTAATATGGTTTAAATCTTAGCTCCTACGGTTCAACTATGAATTAAATTAGAACTAATATTCAACTTAGAACAAAGAAGAACTTTAAATTTTCTATTATTTTTAACACTTTAATGATATTCTTTTAATATTTCCACATGAATTTAATAAAGATGATTTTATACTAGTGTATCGTTATTTTGCTATATTTTCACTTAGTTGTGTTGCACTATTTGAGTATTTGTGAATTTAAATACAAAAATGTCAGCCTCTTGAATCTTTTCTAGTATTCAGTATGCATGTTCTTGTATTTTTATCAACTTTTTATGTGGTTTGGCCGGTGTAATGAGATCTACTAATTACAAGATTTATCCAAATGTTTCAGCATGTGTTTGGGGCATTGTACCCAATTGTTTTGTACCGTTCTGAAACAACATTGTACCGAATGGTCCCATCCTTAAAACCGTACCGTACCGTTTGAAAACCTCACGGGTACATTACGGGTTTTGCTAATTTACCGGACCGTTCCGGACCGCGCCAATCCAAAAAAAAAGGTTAAATGAACTCACCGGTCTTATTAATTGCTTTGAAATATACTCTGAAGGTTGAGTCAGCTTCTTAATCACCGTGTCAAGTTTGCATGTTGCATGTTGCATGTTGCAATAAATTCCCTTTGCTTTACTTCTTTTATTTGACAGAGGATAATCTTCTTTTGTATCATAAATGTAACACTGATTATATGTGTACACTCCAAATCATGAAATCAAATTTGTACTTTTCAGCTGCTTAAATTGTACTTTTCAATTATAGGGTATACACTCCAAATCATGAAATCAAATTTGTTCACCTTCTAAAAAGAGGGTGATGTTCACACCCTAAACTAATTGGTTGCCATGGGGCAAGGCGATTGTTTATTATTTGGCAATTCTTTTCTCATTTTTTTATCCAAAAATTCTAAAAAATGTATCATTTTTTTTTACGATCTTTCATATAGTGCCAATATTGCATATAAAAAATTAATAAATATCCATATAAAAATGAATATTTAGAAAAAAGGATCCCCCAAACTTTTTATATACAATATTGATACCATTGGAAAGATATTTAAAAAATAATAAAATTGGTATTTTTAGTTATAAAAATGGATAATAAATAAAAAATTATTATAGTTTAAAGAAAAAAGGAAATGAAATGCCACATGTCAACAAGTGAGATAAGGGGTGATGTTCACCCTTCAAGGAGTGGGTGAACAAAATTGCACTCCCAAATCACATGTGACATTGGCAAAAAAAAATAGGAGAATATAATTAGATGTATGTGATGTGAAAAACGAGATTAGGTACTCCCTCCGTATTTTAAAATATCCTACATTAGCTTTGGTCACACAGTTTAAGATGAAATAGTAGAGATAGAGTACACTGATAAAGTAAGAAAGACAAGATAAATGATAAAGTAGATTTTTTTTTATCGATGATAAAGTAGATTACAAATGATAAAGTAGGTGAAAGAATGTAATTAGGAAAATTAAAGGAAATATAGTGTATGAGGAAAGAGAGTCCATGGTCTCTCTCATTTACAATACACCACAAAACATGGGCCTACTTTTGCCGCCAACTCAAAAAAAGAAGGAAAATTTTAAAACAATCACTACTTTTTCAGTTTGCCAAGTACAATGCTATAGATAGAAATGCTTTAGAAATGTTGCTATAAATAGAAACATCCCTAACTTGAGATACAAATACTTTTACAATGTACATCTTTCAGAAACTCACAAAGGTTTTAAAAAAAGCAATGATCCAAAAAATGGAAGCCTTTTCAGCAACAAACTACGACATCCCTCTTGGGGAGCTGCTCCTAATTGAGCAAGGAATCTGGGGTGAGAGTCCTGGAATTGCAGAGGAAGGAAACTCATTCATCATAGTTTCTGAAAACACCATCATGAGAGATAAC